TTCAACATCCACTACAATCATATCGGATAATTGACGGACGTTGCTATTCTACATTCATGAAACCCATTCAATTAAAATTAGTTCTTCCACGTTGTCTTTAGAACCAAACCCTTTTCTCGTTTTAACGTTGACAAAATTTATTCTGATAGCAATTACTCCAATCAAATGAGACCGGCGTAGGAGAATGCACAATTCTCAGAGAAGAATAAAGAAATGTGAATAGGGCCAAAGCCGATCATAGTGATCAAAAGTTTATCAAAATTACAGAAACGAATTGGTATAATCGCATCGACACTATATGTAAATGCGGTTATGAAGAAGAAAACGACGATCTCGTCCTGTGGCAAAGCCCGCTGTGCAATGATTCCAGCCAAATCATGTTTCAAAAACTTACGAATTCAAAAAATTGTTTTCACCATATCATGCACGAGAATTCCTAATTAGACTTGATAAAAACTCTCTTGTTATAATTGACGAGTTTCATCTCAAATGTTGCATAAAAATTTGAAGTGTATTGTTAATAGTTCGAAGCTACCACAACATCTGTAAATAGTTCACATGGTCTCAACTTTATAACGCGAAATGTCGAAATAAAGAAAAAGAAATGGAATAAAAAGATTATGATGAATATCGAATTGTTAATAAACTGTGACTTACCAAAATAGGAGGTACCTCTCTCTAATCAATGCTATTTCCACTCTCGATCGAGTCCCGACGATTCATGGAGTCACCGAGACAGCACACGAGCCCTTTGAGACTAAATGGTAATAAAATTCTCATGGATACACGCCATAGTGTCAAAATTAGTTCAAAACTCGTGTCCGTAAGACCCATGTCATGCATTTGTTCTGCGAGCCTTTTTTCCCTTGATTTCACGCTTCACTTTCGCCACTTTCCATTTCAAATTACCTCCGGACTCACCTTACATCCCCACTATTTAATTCATTTTGATAGTTGAAGCAATTGAAACCGTCTAAAATGATTCGAAAACATCAAATTTTGATTTTTATTCTGTTTTTTGAATGGAGAAATATTTCCTAAATCAATGAAAATAATTAGTTTTCGTTATTCTTTACTAGTTATTGACGGATTCTGATTGGATTTATATTGATCGAAGGAGAGAACCAATACATAGGAATGTTCCCGATGGAAGAGGAGCGCGAAATAGTTTTCGAGTAATTTTTGGCGTTTCGCGGGGTCACGGAGACGTCAACTCATGGAATGACTGTTTCACGTCCAAAGAGAATCCCTATATATGCGCCACAGTCACGTGATTCCATTCCGACGCCTAGAGCCGTCCAATCACAGCGTTTTATTACTCGGCAGCGCCATTTCGGCTGACATTTGCGAACCTTTGATTTTGAACAACACAATATTTCCATATTCAAGCATAAGATAAAAATTTGAAGAGAACCGCAACAAGACTTGACTTTGTTGCAGCATTTATTCACTATTCTCTTTCAGAGAATCGATTTAATTATAAATTTTACAACTATATAATTTTCATCGTAAACGTGATAATGAAATAAATTGAATGACAACTCATTAGCTTATTATTTAATCGTGGCATCGAATTGACGTTTTCAATTTTTTCAATTCGTTCTGGATGGCAAAAAAATGACATATTGAAGTCATGAAATAAGTTGAATATAACATCTCTATGAAATTTACAATTCTCTCAAATAGAAAGTATTTTAAGGTGTTTCGTGTGTTGATCACCCGNGGGGGGGGGGGGGGGGGGGGGGTGAAACGAAGGGGGTGTCTTACTGCTCTCGAGCCCTGATTCAATCGTTGAGCACGAAATTTTCTTATTTTCAAGTAATTGTTGAAATGTGCATTTGAACCTTTTTTGATTATTGATTTTATTTATCAGATCCATTCATTTTTTTCTCATCACCTACGGGTGTCAAACAATTTTTATTGGATGTTTTTCTACTTATTGAAATAATATTAAAATGCAGCTCGAGTTGGTAAACCTATCGAGTGCTTTTTCTCTATGAGTTCCATGGTCCAACCCATACCTTTCCCATGATGTTCGCTGACGTTCGAATCACGCGCCTACGCGTGAGGGCGTAATTGCCCCGAAACTCATAATTTTCCGAATCATTTGTTCAAATAATTTTCTTATGAAATCTGAAAAAAATCTGAAACTTATACGTATTCTCAAGAAAAATTTTATTCATCACCCACTAATTTTTCCTCAATAGTTCATTATTTTTTTGGGTTCCATGGAAGTTTTCCTGATTGAGAGTGAGATAACGTCGAAGGTTATCGCTGGAGGGGTTACAAAAACATCCAAATTTCATTTTTTTTTTCTTGAGCCTGAAATCTGAGAAAAATGTCCAAGAATTCTCAATGATGCAGCATACTCCAAAATTTCTTCCATGAATTTTCCAATTTTTTTTTTCATTACTTTGAACCAGAAGAAAACAATCCTAAACATCGATTAATTGTTTCAGATAATGCCGTGTCACCCACGAAAAAATTGAATAGGAGATTTCAGCGAATTCGCCAAACAATTCTATTGGATTTCTATTGAACTTTCTATTAGTTTTTATCCGATTCTTGTGAAATATTCAATAGAAAATATTCGATTCGATTTTTCTTTGTAACTTATTCTATTGAGATATTTTTCTATAGAATTCCCTCGGCTCAAATCTTCTGTTAATTTTTTTCATTATATTTTTCTTTTCTTTTCAAATGAAAAACAAACCAAAAAATTCAGCAAATTTGAACCGAGAAATTCTATAGAAAATACCTCAAGAGAATGAGTTGCATGGAAAAATTGAATTCTATTGAGTTTTTCTATAAAATATTTTCTATTGAACATTTCAATAGAATCGGCCAAAACCTAATAGAAAGTTCAATAGAAATCCGATAGAATTGTCTAGCAAATTTGCCAGGTTTTTCTATTAAATTTTTTCGTGGGTAGTATTTTCCCCGCAAAAACTTCCTAAAAAATTTTTTTTTTTACAGTCGCATCAACAACTAGGTCCTTAGCGACTTTATAAAAATTGGTACATTAATATTCACATCTCGTATTGGTTTGTTATATTAGGTGGTATTCATTCTTTTTCACAGTTTTGTGAGTTTATCTACATAGTTTTTATCATTTAGTATTTCTTTGAACTCTGTTGGAATTTTAAGTGATTTTATGCCACTCATGCCTGAAACCGGCTGGATTACACACTCGACGCTTCGCGTCTCGTGTCTAATTCAGCCGGTTTCAGGCTTCGTGACATAAAATTTTGTTCAGTACTTGTGGGGAAATTTCGTCCTTAACGTGTGTGGTTACATCACTCGCCTTCGGCTCATGCTGTAAACCCCACACACGTTAAAGACGAAATTGCCCCACACGTGCTGAAATATACTATTCTGTCATTGGAATATTTTTGGCATTCTAGTAGAAATATGCCTTACGGACATGTTCACTTGGCAGCTCTGACATTCCGGTGGATCTTCTTTCGTAATGATAAAATTGAGAGTTAATTTTGTGTGACCTATCCTGAGTCTGGTCATGATGACTTGGTCTATTCTTTTAGTCCCTAACTCGGGTGTTGTATTATGACTGTTAGTGCGAAGTTCATGTAGCTTCATTGGGGCCAGCAGTTCAGTCCAAATCACATCCCAGTATTTACTAGCCTGGGTTCTCGTCCACTTTTTTTATCTCTCCTAGACTTAATTGGGAATTTCACTTGTGTCTGAGTCCAGTTCTGTTGCTTCTTTCGTAGCTTCATCCGCTAGTTCATTCCCTTTTATTCCTTGATGTGGTGGGATCCATATTAGTCGTACGTCTTTATTTTTATTCTCGAGATCGTCCAGTTTGACCTGGATATTTTGGACGATGTTGAATTGGTGAAGCGATTTTTCGTTGCTTCTAGGACTGATCGGGAGTCTGTGAATATGGCGAATTTGTCTCTCGTGTCGTCTTCTATCATGAGTAGTGCTATGGAGATTGCTTTCGCTTCGCATGTGAAAATTGTTACTTGTGCTGGGAATTTAATACATGCTCTCTGGTCTTCTATGATTACTCCATACCCAGCTCCTTCTTCTGTTATGGTTCCATCCGTGTATATTTTCACAAACTCCTCGTAGAATTCTTCGAGTTCCTTGTGTAGAGCCTGATATTGTTGACAAGAGGTTTTTTGCTTGCTGTATTTAGTCAAACTTAGATCGATAGTAGGACAAAATTCTTTCCATGGAGGAAAAGGGTGGTATTGGCGTTTTTCTACTTTTGGTATTTATATTCCTAATTCTTCGCAATATTGGTGTGTTCTCATAAGTATTGGAGGGATTGGTATTTCTGTTTGTGTGTCTGGGATATCTTCCCAGTTAATCTTTGAGACATTATTCGGAGCTGATTGGGCAGTTACCATGTGTTTAATGCACAGTTCTTTTCTACGAATACTCAGGGGGTATTCATTTGCTTCGGTGAGTATGCAGTTTACTGGGCTCGTTCTGAATGCACCTTCCTAAAATTATTTTATCCGGGAACTTCTCGATTAAACGGACTGAAGAATTCATCGAACTGAAATGCACCAGAGCATTAAATAAATACTTTATTCAAATAAATAAGGACAGTAGAAATACAAAAAATATGAATATAAAAATAGTAGAGAACAAGAATGATAAATAACCGCCGTACTAACTTCAGAGGAAAATAGACATTCATGATAGTGTAATTGAAAAGAGGAATCATTCATCTTTTTTCATTAAATTCTCCCGATTTGAAAATCAAAATTACTGATCTTCATCATTGAAATTGTACATTAATAAACAAAAATCATTTTGAAGAAAAAATCGTCGATGTTCAGATGGAAAAAAAAATTAGTTCTGAAAATTTGAAATTGTTCAATTTTTAGCTCTTTTGAATCGCCACTTTCTTGAAATTCCCGCGTTTTTCTGACACGTAATCACTTATTGGTTGTACGTGGACCAATGAAAACCGTTGGTTTCCCTTTAAACGTCTATATAGAGTACAGCATGCTACGGTGAGCACACTGAACTGGTGAGCATACCCATTCGTTAAATGTATTGTGGCTGTCGTTCCGTAAACCTCTCTTCGTCCATCGCGTGCCTCTGCCACCATCTCGTATTAATAAAAACGTAAATACTGAATTTCCGGAGTCTATTCAAGTGCAATTCTCAAGACAACTGTTCTAAAGGTGAGCAATCAACTCCAATCAAATTTATATATTGATTCAAACGATTTAAAAATTGGAAAGATCAAATTTTCTACGATTTTGACTTTTCTATAATTGTTTCCTCCGTTTCCATATCGAATGTACCGTTCTCAACCCACAACAATGTCGCGTGTCATTGTGACATTTAACAAGTGCATCAAAAATAGAAGCATCTCTTTTTACTATTCTGTATTTTTTCAATTTTCAACTTTCTTTCCTCCAAATGACAAATTTCGGAGCTGAAAACCAAAAAAAACATGACGTTTGCCCGCCGTGCCCCAGACCTCATAATTCTCGATTTCACGAGTCAATGAATATATGGGTGTTTTCGCCAATTTGTTTTTTATTAGTGTGTTTTCGTCAATTATTGGTATGGTTTTGTACCTTCAAAAATTTAATTTTGTTGAGACTTGTGATATGGATTTCTTATCATTCAAAAGGCCTAAAAAACGTGTTTTATTTTTTCTCAAATTTTATTACGCCGATAAAGTAATTTTTGAGTTTTGTGAGTTTTTGACAAAATTTTGCGTTTCAGCACAGGTGAATTTTTGTTCTCGGGTTTTCAATACGTATTTCTGAGGGAAATTTTCCGTTCTTTCGATTGAGCATGGTGCCAATTAGCTCACATAATCGGAAATGTTTTAAAATCACCAAAAAAGCAAAAAACTGTTCGTGGTACCCCCTTCCCCTATCTCGATTGGATATTTTTTTATTTCTTTACCCAAAGTGATTATTTTTACAGAACATATTGAAAAATTAGACTGGGACTTGGATTCGTTCTATCAAAAAAAATTTGTTTTCAAATTTTTTTTTCTATTTTCTCAAATTTTTCATTTTTTTATTTTTTCACTTCAAAATTCATTGTTTGTCGACCATTTATAGACCATAAATAATGAATTTTGGAGACGATCGTAATGGTTGGGTGAGTTAGGTGTTGCTTTGGCGAACATTCGAGTGCAGCTGCGTTTAACGCGGTTTAACGCGTTTAACTTGGATGGGTGACCGCTTAGGAAGGAACACCCTCACCCAAAAATTTCGGAAGGTAGGCACGGTGTAGTGGCCTAATGTGACCCTCTAGTCAGTGTCACAGAAGGGTACATTAGGGCTCTGCACAATCGGCCGGCTGTACGACTGGGGTTTTCCATGATTTCCCGTGCAGTCCTAGCCCGACGGCCCATGGTGACGCAGATAAAAAATCAGAAGAGAGAAGTGAGAGAGGCAAGCAGACGAATGGGGGAGCCTATAAAACCGTAATGGTAGTAGGAAAGAAATATGAATTAAAAAAAAATTATTTTTGGAATAAAAAAATTAAAAAATAAGAAATTGGAAAAAATCTTTTAAAACGAAATTTGAAAAAATTATTTTTGGTTAGAACGGATCCGAGTCCCAGTCTAATTTTTAAATCTGTTAAAAATAGTCACTTTGGGTAAGGAAAGAAACAAACCTTCAATCGAGATGGGGGAAGGAGGTATCACGCACAATTTTCTAGTTTTTTGGGGATTTTAAAGCATTTCAAGCATTTTATGCCCAATGGAAAGAACAGAAAATTTCCGTCGAAAATACATATTAAAAAGCTGAAAAAAATAATTAGCCTATGTTGAGACGCGAAATTTTGTCAAAAAGTCACAAAATTAAAACATTAACGTTGTAGGCGCAAAAAAATTGGAAAAAGAAGGGATTTTAAAGCATTTCAAGCATTTCATGCCCAATGGAAAGAACAGAAAATTTTCGTCGAAAATACATATTAAAAAGCTGAAAAAAATAATTAGCCTATGTTGAGACGCGAAATTTTGTCAAAAAGTCACAAAATTAAAACATTAACGCTGTAGGCGCAAAAAAATTGGAAAAAGAATTTTGAGACCTTTTGAAGGTACAAAATCATACCAATAATTCGCGAAAACACCCATATGCCGTGTGCAACAAGAAAACAATTCTTCAACATCAAGACTTTCAAATTGATGAATTGATAAAAAATAGAGAACCAGTTCTGAGCAATAATTAAAATTTAAACACGCAAATAATTAATACTTTATACATTTTTCTTTGGATTTCAATAATTAAAAAGGTTTCCATTTTTATCGTAGAAATTATATTTCAATCATGGGTGACGAAGGATTCGACATGTGCGAGTATGTGTGGAACTACGATTCTATGCAGCGTCTCATATCACTCGTAAGTAAAATAAAAATAAAAAATCCATAAAATAAAAAGAAAATTCTTTGCTTCAAACAAAAACGTTTTTCTGCACTTTTCCGATGTGACTGACTCATTCGCTGAGTGATAATAATCCTCCTTGAATTTTATCTCTAAAATACAAATTAATAATCCTCGAAGTTGTTTTAGTTCCTTTCATTCTCTTCAAAGAATAATAATAAATATGAGTGATTGTTAAGCCTTAATATGTATTTATTGAGCATTACTTAAGAGTATTCTCATCTGTTTAGTAAACAATTATTGCGCAATTCTTTTGGTTTCTGTTTGGCTTGCAATTCGCGATCAATTTTTTTCGTGTTTTCCTTTTTTCTACATTCGGAGACATGCAACAATGACACGTGCATTATTGTACTCTTACGTAACATTATTACCTGTGGCTTTGCATTTAATTTCCTTCATTATTATGTATCAAAATCAATCCATAAATAAAACAACTTTCAATTTTTAATGTCTTCTTCAATCATTCCAAGTTTTCTGATGATTTCCAGATTTTAACTGAAGGGTTGAAAAATGAAAAATAGAAATGGAAAAATTACACAATGTTTGAGCTGTTTTTGTTGTTTAAAAAGAATTTTATCTGGTATTTCTTGTTGATTGAATTTTTCCGTTGAAGATTGTGCAAAATGTTCAATTTCTTTTAAGCAGTAGTATTCGTCGACTGTTTGATGATAATTCACATAGATAATATTTGGCCTGGCGGTCGTCATTACAAAAACACAACATACATTGAATTATGTTTGTCAACGTTTCGGTTTGCAATGGAGACGCTCTTCAGGACAGCAACCCAACCTTCATTTCCGGAAAAAAAACAATATTTCACGAAATTGCGTCGTAAAGAAAAAGAAACCACAGTTCACTCATGATAAATGAACAGAAATTCTGGAAAATATCATTATAATTTTGTGAATTTTCATGAATTTCATTTGATTTATGATCAGTCAATTCTATTTTTTATTGTTTTCGATGTAGTTTTATGAAAAATTGTGTTTTTTTTCTAACAGGAAATTAAGACTGATTCGTTGTTCTAGAGAGGATCTCCATTGGAGACCGAAACGTTGAAAAACATATTTTAATCTTTATAGTTTCTTTCTGTTGAAGACCTCGAGGTCAAATAATATGTATTTTAAATTCCATTGAGTATTGAAGTTTTCGTTAACAGCTTCCACTGAAAAATTGCGTGGTGTTTGTGGTCTCCACCTTTCGTCCTACAATCAATCATTCTTGAGTTAATTGACTGCTTAATAATACGAGTAGAATAAGAAAATATAAAATTTGAATTAATATTGTAGCGGTGGAAATTCCTTACTCAACAAGTTTTACGATAATTACCCCCGTAGTCACTCTATGATTATCAGCAAACCTTTTCACTGGCTTTTCTGCGAATAATTGTTGGCCAGCTCACGCTACACTGAGAGAAATACAGCAGAGTTTTTAAACAAGTCTTGTGCAAAAAAAATCGTTTCTTAAAAATGATCAAACAAGCAGGGGTTCGAGCCTATCTAACAGAAGGCATGTTACTCTTTGCGTTATTAGTCTCTTTCTTTTTTTTATTTCTACCAATTCCATTGGTAGTAAGCTTCCGAATGAATCCGTAGCAGTTCCCTATCCTTGTCACAGGCATACAACCGTAACCACATGCTATCGGGTGTCTACAGGAAAATATTCCACCTTTTAATGAAAAAGATTTATACAAAAGGTTGGATATCTCTGAAAGTGCTCGACCAAATACCAACCTTCAGTATTGTAAGAGCTATAATCATACCAAATTTCAACTTGCTATCCCCATTTTTGCTTCCGAATGGAAGCCCTGTGATCGGTTATATTTACGATCTTCTAATTTTGCTTGGAAATGATGTAGAATGTCATGAAACGTGAAGATATGATGTTTTTAGAAAATGTATGTATGTGTGTGCAGATTTTTTCGGAAATTTTTTATAAAATCTCAATAAAAAAACAAGTAAAGTTGCAGCTATAAATCTGAAATTTTGTCACATAATTGCTATCATTTGGGACCAGCTGAGCCCAGTTTCAGAGCAATCGGCCAAGTAGTTTTTTAGATACAGCAATTTCTCAAAAATTCTTTTTCCTCAATATCTCAAAAACTACGTTACTTAATTGAATTTTTTTGACGTCAAAGTGTTTCTTGTGATAGTATTTATCAAATCAAGTCATAATATCGCTACGAAACTAGAGACCGTTTGATGATAATTGGCATTTTTCATTTTTATTATGATAAAATTAATGCATATACGATAACTCCCGAAAAAAGTGAGATAGGATTTTGAAATTTGGTTGTTTGTAGCTCTTATGATATTACAGGATGAGTTCGTTAGTAAGCGAAATCGAAAGAGTGATTTACAAGTGGTTTAGAAGATATTCAATTTTTTGTGAAAAACTGTTTTGCTCAATATCTCCTAAAATACTGGTCCAATTTCAATTTTTTTTTCAAAATACTCGTCTTACTACCACCTATCGAGATCAATAAAAATATGAATACCCGCCCATACAAAGTTAACGAGATATTCACGTTTTTCAATTTTTTTCATCTCATAGTGAATTTGACGTCCCGTAATCCACGTAAAAGTTCGAATAAGCCCCATAAAATTGGCTACTTATCAGTATTATCGAATCTGACTTCCGTACAAAATTTCGGGTCGATCGATTCAATACATCATGGCATAGAGCCATTGATCTAAAAATCGTTTTTTTTTTAAATGACACATCGTCACTTGATCGATGATTTTCGCGTCTGGATGATGAAAAAAGTCATTCAACATTGAATTATGCTCAATTCTATTTTATATTATATTGTTAAATATTAGTCGGTTTCATAATAAATGAATGTTTATTAAAGATTTTGTGGCGAAAAAGATAATAAAACGAAATACAAAAAGGCGTCCGCGGAATAGGATTAAAGATAAAATAGGATCCATTCGGAAGCTTATTACCAATGAAATTGGTAGAAAAAAAAGACTAATGACCCATGAAGAAACAGTCACATGGCTTCTGCCGAATCGGAGTTCTACCCTGCTTGTTTCTCAAGTTATCGCGCGTACAAGAATGAAAAAAATTTTAAAACGAAAAAATGGAGATATCTCGAAAACTTTGAATGAATGGATATATATATTTTAATTGATCCAGATAGTGGCTGCCGACACGAGTATTTTGAAAGAAAAATTTTAAATCCGTTAAGTAGTTCATGGAATATTTGAAGAAATGAGTATATTTACACAAAAGCTTGCATATCTCAGGAACCACTCCGATGATTGCGCCCATCCAAAATACTAACCTTTAGTATTATAAGAGCTAGAACCATACCAAATTTCAACTCGCTATCTCATTTTTTCAAAAAGTTATCGTGCGCACAAGATTGTTCATGAAAAACGGAAAAACGGCAATATCTCCAAACTGTGTATTGAAGAGTATATATTCTGATTGACCTGCATAGAGGCCATCAAGACGAGTATTTTGGAAAAAAAATTGAAATCGGTGCAGTAGTTTCTGAGATATTGAGAAAAAACGAAATTTAAATAAGTTCTTATATCTCAGGAACTATACTGGATCGATCGACCTGAAACAGCGCGCCAAAATTGAGCTCAATAATAGCTACAATGAGCCAAAATTTCAGATTTTTATCTACAAATTTCACCGTATTCATGCTGAATTTTTTAAGAATTAATCAGTAGTAATACCACTGGTGCTTCAAAATTATCGGATATCTTCCAATAGCTTCGTTGTCGGGATTTTCGGGATTTTAAATCTGCAAAATTTGACACACTCGTTCCTAGGCAGGGAAGCTTGAGGAAAATATCCGATTAATTTTGAAGCACGAGTGGTATTTGACAGATTATTTTTCCACTCGGATTTCGGCCAAGCAGAATGCAGTGAACAGTATCCGGATACATTACACAGCCATACATTTACAACCCACTTTTTTGTTTATCTGTCCCACAGAATATTAAACGTGAAATGCGTTGAAAGATGAGAAACATTTGAAAAGCTACTAGTGAATTTCCGTCGGAAATTTTTTAGAAATTTCCGAAATAAAATTGTTTGACAGCCTCAAATACTGCGCTCTGATTGGCTGAAATCCGAGTGAGAAAAATAATCACCAAAAATCTCTTCACGTTTCATAACTTTCTAGACCATTTGCAAACAAAATTAGAAAATCGAAAAATCGGCAAAAGCAAGGCTTCCATTCGGAAGCAAAAAGGATTTTTTACGCCAAACGTGCGAAACCTACACCGAGATGGAAAATTTTTATTGCGAAAATAGATTTAGATTTAGATTTCCAGGACTACTTCTTCGTTATTCGATGCTCCCATACATATTTTGATCCTGGCAAATGCTAGTTTTATATGAAATGAGGAGTAGTAGTTGGTCGTTTGAACTATTCAATAATCACAAATAATAAATGAATTGTTAAATGAAATAATAATTCTATGGCAGCAATCTTGTAACTTGGGGGCAAAATATTTCTTGATACAATTCTGATGAATGATCCGCCTCTTGAGCCAAATATTTCGTTGTTGAAAGCAGAGCAATTATTCATGTTTGAGACTTTCAAATTCGAACCAATCATTTTTTTGATAATTTTCAACTAACGATTTTGTTAGCTCAAACGAAATTTTTTCGAGGACTTGTTCGTTTTTCTCTCAGTGTATGCTTCAATTTTGCAAATCGTTTGTAAATCGCAGAAGATATTGTAAAATGAAGGCTCCTTCAACACAAATACTGCCATCAGTAAAGGAATTCGGGGCGAAAAATGTAATAAAAGAAATATAAAATGATGGGACACGTCCGCAAAAGTAGATACGAGATAAAAAATTGACGGGAGAGAGGAAGAGATCAAATACGTGATGACAAACATATGTTCATTTAACTTATAAAAATTACTGCTCAAAATGTTAAAAAACTTCGAGAAAAGTTTACTAGATTTTTCATTCTATATAAAAATTGAACTCCAAGTGTCGCATACAGACGTTTACGTCGACAGCCGTACTGATAACGACGATTTTATATTTTCATTTATCTTTTCCTTTCCTTTTTCAGTTGCGACAAACACAGGCTTACTGCACCGATAACGAATGTCTCAATTTTGCGAGGCGTATGTATTTATTCTTATTTTTAGGAAAATATAATTTTATTTCTCTAATTGATAATTGTGATGTTGAAGGAAACGAATGAATGCAATTATTGTGATTTTATTCAGTTCCAGGGCCCCAGACTAATCAGTCAGCCTCTGATTTTTTATTCATGAGCATTGCTGTGATAACTATGCTGTTGCTTTACGTACTGCGACCAAATTCACTGAGGAAGAAGTCGGAGGAGAAGCCTCATGCTAATTCATCTGTAAGGAAAACTATAATCATGTTATAAATAAAAAATGTTCATTTTTGGGCTGAGGATTGTGGAACTGAGTCTCACGAAAATTATTTTTTTCTCAATGCCATTGCATTTCGAGAAATCAAAAATGAGAATTCAAAAATGATTTCTAAGGGCTGTTGCACTGATAGAAAAAATTATTTGTATTGAGATGTTCCTTTCTTGGAACAAGTATCATATACTTGAGCCAATTTCAAATAAATAAGACCTTACGGTGAAAATCAATTATTCCATATTGAGATACATTTGCTTGAATCAAATAACAGTCCTTGGCGTTAAGTTACTCGTATTCACCACAAAAATGGAAAAGCTCTATTTTTTTAAACCTAATATAATCTCCAAATGAGAAATTTTCTACTTTCATGAATTGATCAAAAATTCGTACCTAGAAGATGATTACATTGAGGAATGAATTGAATGTTGTTTTCTCGAATGAAGCCGATGTTTAAATTGAGCTTTCCGTACATCACATTGAACGAAAATTGTGATATCCAAGTTTGTGTTGAATTACCGCAATCTGTGATTCTGTTGTTGTAAACTAATGCGATTTTTTTTAGTCAAGAAATATCTCTTCTTTCAACTCAACGACATCTTACTACAATCTCAAAACTTTTTCGCGTAACGATATTCATCCTGATTCGACATACGAAATGCTCGCTTCAATTATAATTTACTGGGAACAACGTATAATCATGTTGATTGAGATAACAAGGCCTTTAGTGATGAGAAAAATTTTGATTTTTGAGTAAACTGACGAATTTCTGGAGTTAGCAAACTTTCGACTAGAAAGAAATCAAACTCTCCCATTATTGCCACAAATAAGAGAAACATCAATTCTAGAGAAGTTCGATTTATCCCAATCAAATGTATCTCAAGAAGAGATAACTAGTATTCACTATGAAAACATGTTCATTTAAAAATTAATAACCAAATGATAGTTGGTTCAAATAAAATTCTCTGGATAAAATTATTGTTTTCTGTCAGTGTATGTATGGGAAAAAACGACGACATTATGTATGGTTTTTAAAAAAATGTTTTTATAGATTCCGTTTACAAGTTATTAACAAAGTAATTTCTTATACATGAACCCTCATGATGATTTTTTCAGTTGGCATGAAACTGTATTATCAGCACAGATGGAAACACAGTTCCATGGGAAATTTAAAAATTTTCAAAAAAGCCAAAAAAGTGACTTCGATTGTTAATAATTTAAAAACTAAATCCAGAAAAATGGTATAAAATTTCATACACAATATAACTATTATCAGGGTGAATCAAGCTGTGTTCGAACACGTCCATCAATCAAAGTAATTTATATATTTATCGTAGAGCAAATGCTATATAGAGTGGAATGTAACTAGGAATACAAAATGACGGTAATTTTTTACATGCGCCAAGTCAGCCGTAAATTTTCCGTTTTCGGACCATTTTAGACTTAACCCTTCAGAACTCGCGCTCAGCCACCGACCTTCGTTACTCGCGTGGTGAGCGCTGCGCCGCCCGTGCTTTCAGTAACGCAGCGTTGTCACGTTCATAGGTACGCGCCGAGCGTGCGGCGAGCGGGAAACAGCAACAGCGGAATTGAAAATTTTACATCCTTCGTTACTCGCACTGGGCGGCACGGCGCCGCTTTTGCGTATGAGCCTCAACAATTTATTATTTTTCGTAGCCTTGATGGATTTTCAGCGGATAAGAACCTTGCTAATCCATTCTAAATGATTCAAGCTAGGCATTCTAATTTTTTCAATTTTTTGAAAGCTCAATTTTGCAAGAGGCAAGCGAAAATTTGAAAAAGGCGGCGCGGCGCTTATAGCGCGAGTTCTGAAGGGTTAACGCATATCTCGTGATGCAAATTGACCGGCCAACTTACCCAATCGTCAGTAATTTTTTCTTATGTTCATTTATGCTGATAAATCGTCTATGTAGATGTAATCTGACCGTCATTTTTATGCTCCGTCATTTTTTTTTCATTTTCTTCGCTAATTTTTTCAGAAATTTGAATAAATTTATAAATAACGTCGAAACGAACAATCGCAAATTAAGTGAATATTACCCTAGTATGGAATTGCAGAAAAATCAGAGAAGTTTCGTAGCGCTTGTCTTATTTTATATGATACGTGCGTGTAACCGCATGGGTTTCAGTTGACTATAGTAGAACTGGAAAGTAGCGGGTTTCAAGCGCCTACCCACACTCAACTGAAACCCGAAATAACCCAAGCAGCACAGTTCTGGAGGGTATCTGCAAGTATACCAAAAAGGCTGTCTAATGTCTGTCCAAAAAGGTAACTTGTGTCTAGAAGTTACTTAGAAGTTAACTAAAAGTTATCGTATGACTACAAGATACCTTTTGGACGGACATTAGTCTGCCTTTTTGATATACTTTCAGATATCTTTCGCAAGGTTTGCTACTTGGGAACGCATTCATTTTGTCATTTGTCATTTTTCTGAAAAATCCGTCACTTTTTTTCTGAGCAAAAATGATCTGTAATTGGCCTTCGGTCAATGACGTATAATTTACATGTAAAATGACGGTAAATTGACCGGTCAGCTTTGTCCGTTACATCCTTAAATTTAACCCTGTCCCTGTTAAAGTGTTTTACCTGCGAAAAAAATGATAACATTGATTCAAAATTCTCATACGATATTCATCGTACTTGTTAGATTATGTAGAATTTTTTTCCCGAATCTCCTAAATTTCGTTAAACTATATTATCAATTTGGATGATAACGCAGTTTTATACTCAATGGAAAACCTCTATAAAAGCCCATGTGTAATAAACAACGTTGAATGTTGGTAACTTGGAGAGTACATTTTGAACAATACTGAAAAAAATGTATAAACCAACTGTCATTGTAAACATTCTTTGTGAATTCGACATTAATGTCATCATTTACCTTTTTCGAACGGAATACATTAAAAACCAATATAATGTTCATCAATTCAATGAGACCTTGTGAAACGTTTCCCACATTAGAATTATTACTAAATCTGACCTGTTCGATCACAACTATTTCGACACTTCATAATAAAACAAGTGTATTTCAGTTTTATTGTTAAAACAAGGGTATCTCAGATTTTCTGAATGAAAAAAAGTATCTCGGAATTCCATACAAAACTCATCTATCTCAATTTTCCGGGGAAAACTTGTCTAATTCAAAGTTAGACGTGAGTTTTCCCCGGAAAATTGAGATACAATAGATGATTACGATGGAATAGATGACTTTATAGCGAAATCTGAGATACCTTCGTTTATTCAGAAATTTTTAGATACCATTGTTTAAAACAATGAAATACGCTTGTTTTATTAAGAAGTGTTGAAAATTCGACGATTCTTATTCGTTTGAACCGTGGACCCTATGAAAACATTAATTTACATTAACCCCAGCATTTACCTTTTGTGAATGAAATACCTTTTGCAACGAATCCGTAAGTTACAAGGATTTTGTAGCTACGAAACATCGAATTTGAGAAGTTATAGTGTCAAAACTTTCTCAATGACGACCAACACAGATTCATATTCTAAGTTTATGAAAAATTGCTAACATGAAAAAATGAGATGATTGGATGTTTAATCGTAATGTAATATTCGCGTACACTCATGAATTTCGTTCTAACAAAAGGGTCTGGCAAAATGGAATTCTACTGTTAGAAATTTTTTGAAATTTCATGGAAGATATTATAGTAAATCTCATGAGAGTGACATTGAATCGCATTTAGGGAAAAAATGGTTATGAAATTTCAAGTTTTAACTAACATTCATGGAAATTCATGAGTTTTCAGTGGGAGTGAGGTGGAAATTTCACAACTTGATTGAATTTTAAGTGAAACATGAATATTCAGGAACAAAATTACATGAATTTTCCTGATTTTTCTGCATTTTCACAGAATAATTGAACTGAAAAATCAAGTATTTTATTGATTTCCAGATCATTTAAACAGAAAATCAATGAAATATCTGATTTTTCAATGACAAAATTTCCTGAAATTTCAGGAGAACTTGAGCACGATAAAAATTTCAGGAATTTGGCACGGAAAATTCAGACAAAATTTTTTAACAGTATCTCTGAAATTAGTCATGATTTTCTGTGATTTTTGGTTTACGTTATGAGAATTGAAAATCCAATAATTTTGATAAAACAACTCATTTATCTCTTTTAGCGCCGAAATGATGATCCGCCTGCCCCGCCACCACCAGCAATCAATTAATGCCTGCTTGAAAATGAGAATCAGCTACTGAAACGAATTCAAGCGAATCGAAAACCAATCCAGCACTTGAAAGGAAAAAATCTAAATTGTTAAATAATTGACCTGAAAAAATGACATAGAAATGACTGGATTGAAAAGCAAAAAAGGAGCGAGAAACCAGAAAAATATTCATGAAACCTCGCACAATCTTCGAATGATCGTTTTTCGACAATACTAGTGCAATTTCCGCAATAAAATTGGATGAATTATTAATATAAATTATTGAAAAAAGATGATTAAGGAAACAAAAACTATATTTACCTTTAGTGAAGAGAGAAATTTCCAAGTGTTCAAAATGCTTGGTAGTTCCGCAATCAATTTTTTTAGATGCAATATTGGATATAAATGTCTAACATCAATCAACTAAACGCTAACAACTGTATAAATAAAAAAAGGATATTGAGAAATACATTCCTGGTTTTTCATACTGAATAACGATGTTTTATTCTCTATTATTGATTTTTGATCAATTGTATTATCAACTGTATCAATTTACAAAAAAAAGGTGAAGTCTTTTTTTACAAATTTATGAGTCAATTGGATTAACCACTTTTATCATCATGTTTTGAAAATGGAACAATGATTCATTATTTTTTCAATATCGTCTCAAAGAAAGATTGAAGGAATTTTGTCCATTAAAATTTACCGGATTTTTTAATCAATTGGAAAATTTTTCAAAAAGAGAATGTTTGTATCATCCGTTTTTGTTTGTTTGTACATGGAAAAAAAACATGCGGGCGACATGAAATTTGTAACACTGACGCAATATTTCCTCTCTGATCTTCTAGTTTTTTCTAGTGAATGTTTTTCATGAATTGAGAAAAGAAAAATTCGAGGACTTATTTACAACATTTTAACAACCAAAATGGGATTTCCCTACTGATTTTTTTAAATCTGAAACCAATCAATGAGATGACTGATAATTTCTTATCTACGGGCACGAGTTTTAATCTGCACGAGTTTTTCCAACTAATCCCTAGCCATTACTCGGCTACGAATTTCTAATTTCATATTTTGTACTTTTAATTTCCAGCACTTATTGTTGATAAAATTTCTAAATATCTGACGAATTGTTGATAATTTAATGAAGAAATAGTATCTTATGTCATAAGGCGATAAAAGTATTATCTGGCGAATGTGGCTTTATAATCCGAGCCGAAGGCGAGAATTATAATCACATTCGCCAGATAATGCTTTTATCGCCGTGTGATATACGCTATTTTATGTCGTTGGGCCCGAAAACCGCGATTCTAACCTCGCTTCGCTCAGTTAGATCGCGGTTTTCGGGCCTAATGACATAAAAATTATTTCTGTACGAGAGTTATCTTTTTTCTGAGACTTTTTTTAGTGAGTAAATTTACAATGGACAATATCTTTTAATAATTGATTCTGAAATCATTCATTACCATGTCATTTTATAAATTTAAGAAGGAAATGAACCGTTATTATGCCGTTATTACGCGATAGTTTTCAGCTATTTTCAAATCTTTAGTGATATAATTTGTCATTTTGGTGTCTGTTTTTAAATTCGAACTGATGAGTGAAAAAAAAATTATTCATTAATTTCGTCTGTTTTCATCTCTGTACATTTTTTTCAACGAAAAAAAAAACATTTTTCCATTACTTAGGAGTACTAGAAAGTACTCCCCTCACTTTCTGCAAAATTCCCGTCATTTTTTCGTACTTACCAGTGGAATTTGGTAAATTCTCAAAGTTTATAACATCACAAATGTCTTTCGAAAATTTTTCACTCGATGGTAATTTTGTAAAAGGGGATGTGCTCTGTAAAATTGGAGTTCCCAGCTCCACAGACTTAACTCCTCCAATTCTGTACAGATTTTCGGGTGTCCCAGGAATATTCAGACAAGATCTTGATGGAGATCCAGGATTAGATTGAGAGTTGGTATCCTCCAATGAGTCCAACAATTTCTGTTTCCTGTTTTCTAATTCACTGAGAGAGGGGGACGCAACTCCTGATGTGGAATCAATTGGAGAAGTATCCTCCTCACAGCCAGGAGGTGGAGGGAGTGGAGAGATCTCTGAATCGTCTGGAAGAGGAGGCACAAAGTGACCGTTCACTTCTAACAATTCTACAGATGTATCTGTAAATAACCATTTGTTCCAATTTGTGAGAGAATAATATTTTTTATGAGAAAATAATTGCTTTACATAGTAGAAAGAGCACTTTCAATTACATAGTTGGAAACAGCATTTTTTCGACAGAATTACTTATTAAATACAATGGAGGCCCTTCATTTTTTAACATATTTGATGATTTACTTACAAAAATGGTAATAATTACACTCTGAGGGATAAACGGCAGGATTGCGCCAAGAAAATAATTTCTTTTAAATCATCAAAGCCGGGTTTTTTGTGCCAAACATGCAAAGAGTGCACTGACATGAAATTTTTTTGGCGCAAAAATACATTTAATAGTTGCACAAAAAATTGCATTCTCTATGAGGTATTCCATGCCAAATGAGTCAACGGCTGACCCTCACCCTTTCGGAAATTGATCTCAATTTTTTCTACGATCGGGGACTAGAAAAACTGTCTCAATATTTTTCAGATTTTTTCGACAGCCCATTTCGGAGATATATGATTTTTTCTTTATTTTTTCGTTTTTTTTTCAATAACTCGGGTTCTATTCAGCCGATTTGATAGCAATCTTGTAACTTAGGGACAAAACATTTTTTGATAAATTGTTCTCTATATGAGATATTTTCATCTAGAAAAGGCACCTCTCGTGTGAATTATCCGCCTCTTGAGCCACATATTCCATTGTTGTCGAAAGCAAAGCACTTGTTCATGTTTGAGACTTTCAAATTCGAATCCAACAATTTCTTTTTTGGTAATTTTCAACTAGCGATTTTGTCGATCCAAACAAGACTTGTTTGAGAACGTGTTTGTTTTTTTCTCAGTGCATCCTTATTGTGCGATATACATATTTAATTCTAGTGAATTGAAATATATCAACACAATTGTACATTGTGCATTCTAAATTCTACACTGTATAATTTCAACCGGTAAATATTCAATTTTTTGTGTGTAATTCGGTAGGCACAATTCGAGTTACAAGTTGTAAATTTTTTTTTAATTACACATACTTGAATTATATATGTCGAATTACACACATTAAATTAAACACTCACAAGTTTAAATTGTAAAATGTGGAATTCAGTTCGCACAATGTGTAATTGGAACGATACATTATTATACATTTTGTAGAATCCATATTGTGCAATTAGAGTGCGGGGGATAACAATTTTGGAAGACAAGATCTTGATACAAAATATCGAATGTATCAAAAAATAAAGGGACTCCACTGTGTATAATAACTTGTCGTAAAAAATGCTGTGTCTGTGTTGAAGTACGCCCTCTCAAGAATAGCCATTTGAACAGCATTAATATTCCATTTTCAATTCTCAAATGTGGACTAATTTCAATCTTGAATTTTTTTTTTATTTTCTCTAGCAACGTGATTTTTCACGCTCTCAGGATCATTTTGGGTTCACAAGGTGCAGAATGCTATCAAATATCGGTGTAACCCCACATCGATAAAATGGGCACTTTTAGTGCGAACGTCCACAAATTTTGATTCTTCCTCTTCAATTTCCATTGTCATTTCATCATCGACATTTATCAATCTCATTTTATCATCAAAAATGATTTTCCGGTACAGGGAAAATTTTATTGGAATTAGTGAATGATCACAGAGATCTAATTTTCATTTTTCTGATGATTTTTTTCTAGATAAATAACTGTTGAGAAGCGAAGACAGAATTTCATTGCGATTTAAGTAAGAAATGAAAAAAGTGAACAAAAGTTGCCATCAACAAAGAAAAAATATTTACCTAGTAGAAAAAAATGGTGACGAACAATTGATGATAATATTAAAATGATTAACTCTTAAGTAGTCGCACAATGAGAGAATCCTCGCTGTTTTGCGATTTTTTCTTTTCACAAAAAAACATCATGAGTGAAAAATCCATAAAAAATTTCTATTTTCAAATATATCGAGCACATTAATATTTTTTTTTCAGATTTGGACTAATAAAGTATTAAAATCATTTGAAAACTCGACTCGCTGAAAATCCCCGTATTTAACCGCCAAATTTCAAAATTTTGCACCTGATGAGATCGACTTTTACAATAAACTCGTATGGAATAAATAATTTTTTTAGAAGAATATTTTAGAAATAAAAGATAAATTACCTTCTACAACGTCAACTTCCATTTCTACCGGTTCTACAAACGGCAAATTCTGAGATGTTCCACTTCGTTTCATTTTTTTCCTCTTGTATCCTTCTTCCACCTTTCTACCACTCATTTTCGCCAGCATGGTGTCTTTGGAATGAATTGCTCGCTGTTCGACATCCCAAGCAGCCTGAAAAATTCATCACAAATCATTTTTTGGAAACAATTCCTACAATGTGCACGAGGCTGGGTCATATTTCCAATCGAATAAATTTCGAAAACTTGTTGAAGTTCTTAAAATGAGAATAAAAAATTCTGCCAGCCAAACAACCAGAACTGGCCGTGTACATGTAATCGGCTATGGGTGCCAGATGAGATTGTATTTTCTATAACAATTATCCCACAACCGAAAGGTCTTAGCAATACTCAAGGTTGGGCATATCCTGGAGATGAAAGTTTTCGATGTGACATGGTCAATACTGGTAAATTACCTCCGGAGCGTCAAAAATGTCTAAAAGTATCAGAAACGTACTTAGAGGGTTACACAAGGGTTAAAAACTAGTGGCAGGCAGGCCGGACAATCCCAAACTACACTAAGAATGAGAAAGATTTTTGAGAAGCACGCATTACTCACATAAAAAAACTCCCGACTTGAAAATTTTCAAGAGCAATATATTTTGTACTAAGAAAAACAAATTTTCATCAAGAAACTTTGTACTTGTTCTAAAGATGAGGATAATTTCTCAATGACAAGAAAGCGATTTCTTATACTGAGTAAAATTGAATAAATTCATTTCATAGTTCTTCAGCCTTAATTCTAAAATATTTTAATGCAAACACCACTTGAATTGATTTGAGAACTCGTTATTCATATGAACCTATTGCTCTCATCTTTCGGGCAAGTATAAAATTTATTAGCGTAAAATTGTTTTTTCTTAGTGTGAAATATTGTGCGCTTGGTAATTTTCGAGTCATGAATTTCTTGATACAAGTAAAAATGTACTCCCCAAAAAAACTTGTCTTTTCAGTGCAGCGTGACACTGCCACAAGAGTCAACCACGAGAGGTAGACCGAGCAATCACAAGGGTCCAACGATCATGAAGATCAAATAGAACGAGCAAGAAGGACAATCACAAGGGTCAAACGGAAGTCGCAGGCCGGATAATCCTTTGTGATTGTCCTGATTTCCTGTTTCTCATTTTCCAGACTCGTGTTTTTTTGCGTGTCTCTCCTGTGGTTGAAACAATGACAAAGGTCGGGCGACCATAAATCAAGTGAAATAACCAGAAGGCTCTCTCGTTTGGACCTAGATATTATCCAGCCTGCCTCTGATGTTCAACCCTTGTGGTCGTTTGACCCTTGCGAATTGTCGTGACTGAGAAGTTTCATCCTCGCGACGCATAGCCCTTGCGAGGTATGACGTTTATGAGGTATCACTCTCGTGACTCTGGACTTTCGCAATCCCAGTAAAAATATCACGGTTGTCCATTATGCCAATAAAAGGCATCAAATAGGTTTCTGACATGTTGAAAATGTCGAAAACTCCATCCAAAAAAAGGTCGTCCTGAATCAAGTCGAAAAATCGGTCGGAACCAAGAGGGACTGAATCATGCCGGGAATCGACGGATTTCATGTCGAATCGACGGCATGAATCAAGTGTGACTCGGAGAGGTGCAAACCGACACACCTGTGTGATTCAAGTCGATTTTTCGACTTGATTCAGGTCGATTTTTCGACTTGATTAAAATTGATTTTTCGGCTTGGTTCAAATAGATTTTTCGACTTGATTCAAATCAATTCTTCGGCTTGATTGATCAAAGGGTTTCATCAATATCATGACGTGTTTATACGCCGGGGTGTAAAAGAGATTTTTCAACGGCCGAGGATTCTAAATCGGGGTCTTATGTAAATTTTACATAGGGGGAGGGGTTTGTCGAAGTGGAATTTCATTGATGGAGAAAGAGAACAGGTTTCGCGGGTTGAAGCCATATTCATACCAGATCTTCAGTTATTTTAAGGGAAGACTACTGTGAGTTTTAAAAGTCGCNGATGTGACATGGTCAATACTGGTAAATTACCTCCGGAGCGTCAAAAATGTCTAAAAGTATCAGAAACGTACTTAGAGGGTTACACAAGGGTTAAAAACTAGTGGCAGGCAGGCCGGACAATCCCAAACTACACTAAGAATGAGAAAGATTTTTGAGAAGCACGCATTACTCACATAAAAAAACTCCCGACTTGAAAATTTTCAAGAGCAATATATTTTGTACTAAGAAAAACAAATTTTCATCAAGAAACTTTGTACTTGTTCTAAAGATGAGGATAATTTCTCAATGACAAGAAAGCGATTTCTTATACTGAGTAAAATTGAATAAATTCATTTCATAGTTCTTCAGCCTTAATTCTAAAATATTTTAATGCAAACACCACTTGAATTGATTTGAGAACTCGTTATTCATATGAACCTATTGCTCTCATCTTTCGGGCAAGTATAAAATTTATTAGCGTAAAATTGTTTTTTCTTAGTGTGAAATATTGTGCGCTTGGTAATTTTCGAGTCATGAATTTCTTGATACAAGTAAAAATGTACTCCCCAAAAAAACTTGTCTTTTCAGTGCAGCGTGACACTGCCACAAGAGTCAACCACGAGAGGTAGACCGAGCAATCACAAGGGTCCAACGATCATGAAGATCAAATAGAACGAGCAAGAAGGACAATCACAAGGGTCAAACGGAAGTCGCAGGCCGGATAATCCTTTGTGATTGTCCTGATTTCCTGTTTCTCATTTTCCAGACTCGTGTTTTTTTGCGTGTCTCTCCTGTGGTTGAAACAATGACAAAGGTCGGGCGACCATAAATCAAGTGAAATAACCAGAAGGCTCTCTCGTTTGGACCTAGATATTATCCAGCCTGCCTCTGATGTTCAACCCTTGTGGTCGTTTGACCCTTGCGAATTGTCGTGACTGAGAAGTTTCATCCTCGCGACGCATAGCCCTTGCGAGGTATGACGTTTATGAGGTATCACTCTCGTGACTCTGGACTTTCGCAATCCCAGTAAAAATATCACGGTTGTCCATTATGCCAATAAAAGGCATCAAATAGGTTTCTGACATGTTGAAAATGTCGAAAACTCCATCCAAAAAAAGGTCGTCCTGAATCAAGTCGAAAAATCGGTCGGAACCAAGAGGGACTGAATCATGCCGGGAATCGACGGATTTCATGTCGAATCGACGGCATGAATCAAGTGTGACTCGGAGAGGTGCAAACCGACACACCTGTGTGATTCAAGTCGATTTTTCGACTTGATTCAGGTCGATTTTTCGACTTGATTAAAATTGATTTTTCGGCTTGGTTCAAATAGATTTTTCGACTTGATTCAAATCAATTCTTCGGCTTGATTGATCAAAGGGTTTCATCAATATCATGACGTGTTTATACGCCGGGGTGTAAAAGAGATTTTTCAACGGCCGAGGATTCTAAATCGGGGTCTTATGTAAATTTTACATAGGGGGAGGGGTTTGTCGAAGTGGAATTTCATTGATGGAGAAAGAGAACAGGTTTCGCGGGTTGAAGCCATATTCATACCAGATCTTCAGTTATTTTAAGGGAAGACTACTGTGAGTTTTAAAAGTCGCGGATTATTGGAGTGAGACTTTTCATACGTTGAAGATCGATTATATAGATCTGAAAATGAATAATTAGAGCAAAAAATTTTTTTTTTATTATTCGTTTACCCGAAAACGTTTAAAATGCCAAAAACAGTCCAGGGCCTCCAATTTTTGAGCTACGAATAATTTTTTTTTCTCAAAATTTTTGGAAAAATATTTGGAATAACAATTACGAGCTATTTTTTTTAATTCACCTCTTACATGGCGAAATTTGCTTTTTTTGTATTTTTTTACACAAATAGTGAATTTTTTTATATGAAAAAAAAAAGAAATCAGTTGTGTAGGAGTTGAATTCCAAAAAACGGGTTCGTAATTGTTATTCCACACATTTTTCCAAAAATATTGAAAAAAAAAATCTTTTGTAGCTCAAAAATTGGAGGCCCTGGACTGTTTTTAGCATTTTAAGCGTTTTCGAGCAAACGAACAATGAAAAAAATTTTTTTTTGCACTAATTACTCGTTTTCAGATCTATATAATCAATCTTCAACGTATGAAAAGTCTTACTCCAATAACCCACGACTTTTAAAACTCACAGTAGTCTCCCCTTAAAAGAGAATCGTCATCCAAGGTGGCTATGCGATTAAATGGAAATGATAATTCGGTAAAGTGTCGCAATACACGACTCCAAACTAATTGCAATAATTTATGCATCAAACTCCATGGCTTATCAATACAAACAATAATATAAATTCTAAAAAAGTCGCTCTCCAACACAAAGGCCTAGTGCCTCAAGAATATGTTGTGGTCGGGGATTTATGGTATTTGCACGCACAGTTCGGATATTATTCAGTCGTGTTTTGGTGTTGTGATGAATTGAGTCTCTGGGACGAGTGTCTAGTTATTATTTGTGTGGTGATTTGGCTCTGCTTCAGGACTGAAAAATTATTTAACATCTTGCTGACGAAAAAAAATCCATAGATGCGATTAATTCTGACATCTTAAATATGGATTTTAATTGATTGATTACAATATCTATAAATGGAATAGTTATGTGGCTATACATCCTCAGAGATTTCACAGCTATTTTAGACACAATTAATATGTGACCTTTTGCCGCTTGAAGGACAGTGGAGGAAAAGGTTTGTCAACAAAAGTTTAGTCAAGTTGTATTAGGATTGTTGGTGTCGTTTAAGTTCTTCTCAATTTTATGTTGTTGAGTAGAAAAGTGGATTCATCTTAACCGAGACCAATCTTCCGGTTAATTTTGGGTTCTGTCACTTATTTCATTCCATAATCATCCATACGTCAACAATAATTACGGAAAAATTACCAGCAATTTCGATTTTTAGGCAAAATAAATAGAGAGGGGTATTGTGTCACATTATCGATAATTCTACCCCCACTCCTCCGTAAAAAGTCAAATACTGAATTTCTATTGGTTGCCATTCAGATGAGGGGATAATCTGTGAAATTTGAAATTTCATGATTCTTTTCCTGTGATTCGAATTTTATGTAACTCTCATAAAAAAGACTACGAACTTTCCACGAAATTTCGATTTTTTTCCAACAGTGTATCTCTACGACTTGGACTAACTGTCGATTTGACTCGAATCAAGCAGAAGAATCGATCTGAATCAAGCCAACGTCAACTTGAATCAGTGTTTTTTTTGGGTGTATATTATACTAGATACACAGAATAATATTTTATTATAATACAGTGTAAGTTTAGCGGAATATAGACTTCAAAAAACGCTACACTGGATTTTTCAAAAGTGGATGGTTTTTATAACATTGACTCACATCTGAAGTTCCCGGTGGCGCTGGAATATTAAATCCAGGGTAGTCATGGATCTTCCTTATATCATACTTATCCCTGGACTCTGATGTAAATATTTCGCCTTGCTCTTCATCTAGCTCCGTTTCTCTTAATCCTTCAGAGTTATAAAGATTTATACCAGAGTGTTGGAGACGAGCTTCCTCCAGCCACCCTGGGGGATAGCCAAGTATTCTCATTCTATATTCATTAGAAAATTATAAATTAATCAATTTACTCCAAAAAACGGAATCAGCCAAAAAATTAAAATTAGGGTTAACAATTAGAATCTCTTCCACTTTAAGAATGATTTGCATTGCCGATTTGTAGTAACATAATTTTCCTATTCAAACATATAGCAATAATCAGACAAACTCGCAGACGTTTCGGTAGTAGCAGCGCTTTAATTGAAAACAAATTTTTTTTTAGTGTAAAATTAATAAATGAATTAATGATGAATTCGCTTCGATTTTTCTTGAATATTTGCTGTAAAAAGGATTTATATTAAAAAATAGCTGTCAGCTGTTAGTCCATAAGTGACCCAACTTTGTTATCTGGTTCCTCAGCAAGCATCACCAATAACTAAATGCAGCATTGAATCTATCGCCGTTATTAATACATTTTTTTTAACACGAAGAAAAAAATTAGTTAAAATTTTCATACTTGTAAATGTGTCTGGGAAGTTGATTATCAGCCAGTCCTAAAGCTCTCCTCAGTTCTTGGCTCAAAATTCCAGGTTTGAAATGATCGAACTTTGTGTCTTCGTCCACATGATACCTGACAGACTTAGGACCAGTCCTATTATTGAAATCCTTCCTGTTCTTATTAATTTCCACAGAATTCCGAGGCACGGGGCAGTCACGTAAATTGTGATTTCCCAGACAATTAAAGCAATTGAGTTTTGGAGCTGCCTTTTCCTTTTCTTCTACTATGTCAGGTACGTCCTCTACATCCTTGAGGACTTTTTCGAATTTTCTGCCATACGTGGGAACGTCGAGACTCTCTTGAGCGTGAGGATTGCTATCGATCATGAAGAGAGTATTGTCTGTAGCTGATACCAATCCATTTCCATCGAGCTTTCGTTTTTTGGATTTGTTTGAGGGCCAGATGTCCAGAGTAGGTTTCGAGGCATTTTTGTCTTCTCTAGCTTCACCGAAGATGAGTTGAGTGAGAAAGTCCTGAATTTTCCATTTGTATTTCCTGAAGAACATTGGAGAAAATAGAGGGGTAATGGAAAGCTGAAGATGAAATCAGTAGCGAAGTCGAGAAGAATAACGAGTCGATTCAGTTCTTAGCTGAATTTTTAAGGTATTCACAGAGAAGAAACGTTGTTTGAGTTTCTAAAACCAAGTTACTGATTTCGAAAGGCTTATGATTCTAGAAGCCATTGTACTGAGGATATACAACTAATCACTTTCTAAAACTAATTTTGGTGTTTCGTGGAAAAAGGCGAAAGAATGAAAAAAAAATTGGAAAATTCATGGAAGAAATGTCTGAGTATGCTGCATTAGTGAGAATTTTTTCACATTTTTTTTCAGATCTCAATCTCACGAAGCCGACGTTACCTTTTATCGTAAACTGTGAAGCTTCGCGGAGATTATACCTCGCGAGGGTCACACCTCGTAAGGGTCATACCGTGTAAGGGATGAATTTTACAAGGGTCAATCTCATTATTTATTGATTTCTATTGAATTCGTCGCGTCATCTTTTGTCTTGACATTAAATTGTTTCATTCAGCATTCTTAAATGAAAAAACTAATTCAATTGTCTTTGGTAGCTTGTTTGAACTCTTCAGAACAAAATGGCTCTTTTCAGGTCCAACTAGGCTTTTCCGGGGCTCCAAATAATAAAGTGGAGAATCCAATAAAGCTCAATAGATAATGAGATTGACTTTCTCACGATGGAGATGACTTGTGGCTTTGGTCTTTTGCAACGTTTGACCCTCGTAAAATTTACTCTTTATGAGATATGAGGCTCATGTTTTTGAGTTTCTTAAAACGCTTAATCGTACATTATGTCACCAGGCGATGAAAGTATTTTACTCACATGAGTCAGAAAATTGTTTTATTACCGTGTGACCTACAACATTTTATGTCTCTGGGCCCGGAAACCGCGATTTAGTCGAGGGAATCGATGTTAAGATTGCGGTTTTACGGACGTAGGGACATAAAATAACATTTTATACCCCAAGTACCGAGAACCTCGGTCTAACCGAACAAAATAAAGTTAAAATTCGCGGTTTATCTTTCCTCAGGACATAATATACTATTGTTATGATACTAGGAACGGCGGCGCGCTTCGTGTGCGCAAGATTGGCTAGTGATATCTACATATTATTTTTGATCACTAGGTATTTATTCATTTACCAAAACGGAGTTAATGTGCGCTTTTATTATGGTGCAATTTGAGAATAAATTTGAAAAATGATCTTCAAAAATTTGCACGATAAAAAATTCACGTTGTAACGTTCAAGAATTTAGGTGCCTCTAAGAGTGAAATCGCTCCCATTTTCCAGTGTAGAAATCAAAATCTTCGGAATAAACTGTTCACTGCTGAAATTCACAATTTTTTGTTTTGTTTTTGTCTTTTAAAACGTTATTCTTCTATTTTTTTCCAATGTGCAAACATTTAAATTTATTGTTCATAATAATTCCATAATCATTTTTGTTATATCCAAAGGGTATATTTATACTTATACTTTTTTTAAATTTCAATATTCGAATTTTTCAACTATATCTTCCCGTCCATCTTTCCTGCATAGCTTAGGTATCACACATTATGCATACATATATACCGGGTGTCCCAAGATGATTTGGACGGCTAAATAATTAGCTACAATGTAGTTAATCGTGAAAATATTTCAGACCAAATTTATTGGGCTTTAAGGGGGAAAAATAATGAGAAGCATATTTTGAGCATAAGTGTTTATGTTTCCATAAAATTTTAGCATAAAATTTTCGTCTTACAAAAGTTGTAGTACTCGATGAGACAAATATAATAGTATCCCACATACAATATTTTTTTATGTTTTATGGGCTAATATTACAAAAAAATGAATAAGTTGTACTATGATCTATCAAATCAGGCACTAATTGGCCCATTTTGATTTGAAGGTCTGCCTAGGTAAACAAAGTTGAATGAGTTTAGAATGTTTTTGTCAACAAAGAATTATTGTTGTTTTGGTTGTGAAATAACAAAAAAAATTTCGAAGGAGATTACAATTGTGCTTCGAAGTAAATGGCGGAAACATTGAACAACTTGTGGAATAGTTCACACAGACGCGCGCTGTGAACAGAAATGTTAATTTGGACTTTTATTTTATTGTTGTCGATTTTTTGTAATGTTAGCTCAAAAACAATAAAATACTTCATGTGTGATACCATTGTATTCGTCCCATCGAGTAAAACTTTTGTACGGCGAAAATTGGTGGTCCCATTAAAAAAAAAATGAACTTATGCTTGTAGCATAGAAATATAATCACTTATGCTGAAAATATGCTTGTCCTGGTCACCCTGTATGTATCTATTTAATTATGTATTTATTTAGTCATTCATTTATTTATTTATTTATTTATTCATAAGCTCGGATAACCTTGAAGTATTCCTAAGTCTAGCAAATGCTTGGGGAAATAGATTGCAGACCAAAAATGTTTCACCTATTTTTTAACAAAGGATTTATGTGTCCAATACTGCGTCTCCGTCAGTCGGAATAAACTAAAACATTCCAATAACCGAAAATTGCAAACTTTTCAAAGTAATGTAAAAAATGTAAAAAACCCGTCGAAGTAATTTACGTAAATAACGTCGGCAAGAGGCGGTGTAATTTACCAACGTAATTTACACGACCAATCCTGCTGTCAAGCACTTGAAGTTGGAAATTTCGAAAATCCCCACAAAAACAAAAGCTGCGAAATTTTATATTTGAATATGATTCCTTTCTATTCTGCTCCGGAAGTAAATAAAATCAACATTGTTACTTCTCAAGATTTTGAAAAATGTTAATGGTTCCTGATTCAATATCGATTCTCGACAGGGAAAGGGGTCATTTCGCTCATTTCTAATTACCTCGCAGCATCTTTATCCCTGAAGATAACCTTTAAAATAGGGGCTTCGGTGCCATCTTCAGGTTCAGGAGGAACTTTCCGTGGCTCGCTCAGCTCTTCGATCGATTCATCAATGAGAACGAACCCCTCTGGAGCACTTCCCGAAGGCAGAGTTTCATTGAATCTCACCGATTTTTCACAAATTATCACTTCGTCGCTAACCTCACCCTCCTCCTCATCTTCCTGTTGATCGCATTTGATAGACTCTTGACTCGAGTCCAGACAAATGACGTCCGACTGGTAGCATTTATCATTGCGACCACTCATGAGCACAATTATTTATTCACGAAACCGAAATATAAGCATTCAACGATTAAATATGGATGGATTAATAACAATTGGAATTTGTTTTGGAGCGTCGGACTTTCTAGAAATTGTAAATAATGCAACTGTATTAGATTCCTAGGGTCTCTAGATCCCGCCATATTAACTAGAATTCAACGGCGCAATTTCAAATGATAAATTAGCAGACGTGCATTCTTGTACCGAGATGTAAGGGAGGGTGGGGCAATATAGACACCAGATTTAAGTAATGAGTTGAATTGAATCAAATCTACTATTTCAACTTCATTTGACAATTATAAAAACAAACACATTGTGATAAGACTGCATCGTAGGAGTTGTAAGGTAACGCAATAAAGGGGTAATATGGACACTTTGATTTCTTCCTCAATTTTTTGTTTCATCAATACTTATTATTTAATGTCTGAAATACTAGCCATGACTACGGTTTTTAAATTGAAAAAAAAAATCATTTTTGACTTTTGTCGTGGGGGATGGTAAACCAAATTTTTCTTTGCTCGTTTATCCTCCCCTCCCCCACTGTTTTATGGTGATTTCCTTTCTGGGTTGAAAAGTAGCCATCTCACAAATTTCGCAAATGAACAAAAGGTCAATTGTGTAGAGCGTGCAATTGTTCATTTAAAAAAATGAATAAGTTCAAAGTTAATTCAATAGTAGAACAGGAAATCCAAGCCTACTCTATATTTCAACTTCAATGTAGAATTTTATTAAGTTGAAGTTTATTTGTTAATGTGTCTTCCTCTCTAATTTCTCTCCAAAAAGCATACCGACATGATTCTGTTGGAAAATGGCTGTTCAAAATTTCCTTCTAGGGGCTACTCACTCCATAATTGAGTGACAACATGATTTCGAAATGAAGTCGACTTCGGGTAATTTCAGCGGTGATTTCAGTAATTTCGGAAAAAATTATCTCGGTGATTTCGAGCGTAACGGAAGGTGATTTCATGATTTCGAATGATTTCATTAATTCGAAATCAGTGATTTCAGAAAAATAAAGTTAGTGAATAATAGACGTGGGGCAAAACGGGCTGTGTCAAATTATGAAAATCAAAACTGGCAATATTAACTGGTAAATAATAACGAATTCGTTTGATTCTACTTCGCCAATCTTGAGCTATTGACGATGAAAAACGGTCCATTTTACCATTTCACTACGACAGTGAGGTTGGCATTTTATTATCATCATTGGCAGGTGTATCAATTTCAAAATTACGAATTACTTGGACGTTTTGTACTATGCCAGTGCGCTACTGATTTTAGTGATTTCAGACGATTTCACGTGATTTTGAAGTGATTTCGGAATAATTTCATACCAGAGTAGCGCCGTGATTTAAACCTGAATAGGACCAACTTATTCGGGTGTCCATTTTACCCCGCTCTTGAATAATTTTTCGGTTGTGGATCTTGCCAAGACACAATATTTTAAATTCAAGTATTTAAAATGTTTGCAAATTTTTTTTGAGCGTCCATTGTATTCCATCTTATGCGGATTAATCAGGTGTCCATATTGTCCAATGAAAGAATGTTAAAAAATTTTCAAAAAACAAATTTTCGCAAATTGTTTGTGTCCATTTTACTCCAAATGTCGATATTATCCCACTCACCCCTATACAGTAGACTCTCGTTATAGTCGCATTTCCCCTCATATCGATTTTTTCGAGCTCGAGCGCTTCCCCCACTCCGTACCACCTCCGAGGTGTGGATTTAAATGCCCCTGTTTTCTCGGAATGGGCTTTGTTTTGCATTTCTAAGAAATTCGGGAAATAAAATTTAGGAAAAATGAATTTGCGAGAGAGAAATTCAGTTCACTCTTGACTGTCACGAAGAGAGGGTCATAATCCTGCTTTTTATTTGAATGAAGTGAATAAATTTCGGAGTGTATTGAACAACGCGATGTTATTAATATTTCTATTCATTTCATTAATTTACTAAAAGTGTTCAACGCAATTCATTTTGTTAATTTAATAAAAGTGTTTAATGAAAATAATTTTTATATTTAATAAATATGTTCAATGCAAATTGAAGAGAAAAATAATTGGAGTAAAATTTATTTTCTTATCGCTCCCGATTCCCGGAATTTAGGCTTACCGTGAGCGCCTGGTGGGGGAAGAGAAATACAGTCCCATTCTCAGAATCGGCTGCCCCTACAGCCCCGTGAGTGCGACTATAACGAGAGTCTACTGTACTAATCGTTTCCTAGTGGCCATTCACCAAATTTAAGTAGAATATAAGGAGTATAAAATGTAAACCAATTGCAACTAGTTAGTTGTGTGAGGCTAAAGGAAAAACTGAAACAGAAATTCTATCGGAGATATGCTGAAAGGGTTTCACAGAGAATATACCAGCATTTGTCCTGCATTGTGGGCAACTCATTAAGGGGATACGTTCCCTCTATTCGTTATGGTTATATCGTCACTCAAGATAGAGAGACAAGCACCATCAAGTCGATAGGTTGGTGAAATTTAAGTCTTCACTGGGCCTTGGGACCCATTGAACAGTTTCTGATATATGACGAAGTATGGAAATAACTAGGGAAAATTGGGGACCCGATCAATTGTACCCTATGTATACCCACGAAAAACTTCATTTTTTCCTGGTTTTACCTTCGAAATGCTCCTTGCGCCGTTGTTTTCATACCATTTAAGTTTTTGAAGTGAAACTTCTTTAGGGAGGGTACGAAAAATTTCAGCGC